CTTGGATTGTCTTCTCAACTCTCGATCCTATTTTTTCGTAATACAAAAAATCAATATCGTTCAAAAATGACTGTCACGTTGCGAAAAATTGTAAAAATTAACAATCGAACCTCGTCAAGAGCTTTTATTTTCCAAATCCATTCGATTTTTCGTCTGAAAAACACGTCGTTCCATCGGCGATCAATTAAAACACAAATCTCATCTCCTATTGACAACGGTGTCTCCCACGATTATCGTAACGAAAATTACGCAACGTCCAATCAACAAAAATCCACCGACAGTCCTCGAAAAAAAAATCGCATCGAAAATTTCTCCAGTCTCCAAACAAACTTAACCCATTAAAACCCATTTACCTGAAACACAAATTCGTTGGAAAGCACGGCGAGATAACGTCGAAAAAACGCGGCATCGAACGAAAATCCTCCGACAAACAGCTCCAAGTGCATAATCCTCCGAACACATCTGTGTTCCTTTTCCCTCCGCTCGGCAGCCTCGAATGAATCACTTTTTAAATTGCGCCGCAAGATCGTGTGTCGTTTCTTTCTTCCTTCGTCTTATCGTCGGCTTGTCCCAAATCGCGAGCAGACGCGACGACGTTCCGTCTTCTGCGCGGGAACGAGCTGTTATTATTGGCCAGGAATATCAGACGGTAATCCCGGTGTGTTTTCCTAAGGAGAACCGTGCAAATTACCAAGATGTACACACGCAGACACACGCGCGTGTGTAATATGCACGGTTTGTTTCAACACGATTTTACGTTCTATGCGTGCACCATCATGTCCGCTGGTATTTCAACGACGCGACGCCTGCAACCAGTGACGTAACACCGCGATGGTAACGTCATTCCGTGTGATCCGCTTGGTGCACGGCTGTCGAATCCATTACGTCACTGGCTAGCATTGTCGTGTTTCGATCGTCGTGAAGTCTCACGAAAATATTCTCGTTGGAAAGGTCGTCGGAGACGAGGCTCTCTCGCTTTCTCCTCGCTACTAAAACGGTCCTCGAAACACCCAGTGTACACTGTTTAACAGACGTGTAAACATTAACGCAAGAAGACCAGGCTGGTTTTTATTCCATCTGATTCGCCCGTGAGTTGATTACTTTTCTCTGATGGAATTTAACGCGGTACCCGAATCTTCGCGATTGCTATAATCTGCCGAGCGATAAGATTTTTGCCAGTGTTATTCGTGGCAAATGTATTCAGTTGGTTGAATTTTTTCTTTCGCTAATAAGATATATATGTGCGGCGATTTGTGGAAATTTTATTGTTCTTTCGTTTCTCGTTGTGCTTTGCACGGAGGTGAATGGAGCGAAGTGGATCGAATACTTGCATGGAGATATATGTATATGTCGAGGATGACTTAAGAAGGAATCGACGATATTCCGGCGATTGCGTCACAGGCAAGAACTATTATTCTTATATACCATCTCGACGATGGAACGTCCCGATGAAAGGTCGAAAATAATTTACGAGGACGTTAAGTAGCTCTGGGTTCCAGTTGCCGCGATAGATCGGCGAGGAATTGAATCGGTGGGCTCGTTCCTCGATATTCCCTCGTACCGACGTGTAATCTATCGACGCTTAATTACCCGGCGCTGTCGAACACTCTATCGGGTTGCTGTAAATTTGAATCGAGCCGAATGGCCATTTTTCACGCCGCTTCGATCGCCAAGTGGGAGTTGCGAATTGGAACAGTTGTGATTATCGCGAAGTGTGAAGTAGGAGAATTTCGACGCTTTGCAGTGCTTGCTAAGGTGTAAATTGTGAATTAGAGAAAATGGTAAAATCCTCGATCGCGAAGTGCAAATTGCGAGCTCGAAGAGAGGTGATGTTTTGTAACGGTGGAAAAATTGCAACGTTGTACAATGTTCAAGGTGTAAACTATTAGAAAATTAGAGAAAATGGTGCTCGATCACGAGATGCAAATTGTGAATTAAAAGAATCGTAATGGCTTGCGATACTGGATTAAGTGTGAATTGCAAAGTAGGAGGATTGCAGTATCTTCCGTCGATTGTGAATTAGAAAAATTGTAACTTTTATTAAAGCAGAGCCTTAACCTCTTCAAAGACACCGGCACATACGAGCATGTTTATTTTTTCCGAAATTGCAACATTTTTTAATGGAAAAGATATGAGAATGTGGCGAATAATCATTCGTTGCGTAATATATCTCGTAATATCTTAACAAGAAACGCAGGTTAACTGCTATGAATTTAAGAGGAACGAAACGTAACAGTGTACAAAAAATTGCACGATTTAAACGAATAGCCGAATCACGAAATGGAAGACGAATACGAAGACTAGGAGAATTAGAATTTTTTTCATAAAATCACGTTGTAAATTGCGAATTGTGCATCAAAGTATTAACAAGCGTGAACAGGCGTACGTGTAGGTAGAATTATAGCATGTGGATAATTACGCCTAATCACATTTCTGTTGTTAATCTGAAGCCTGTACGTAAGAGGACTAAAAAGAGAAAATGCGTCGCGGCGACGCTACCATGTGCACAGAGCGAAGTGTTGTTCCACGGTATATAATCTTATCAAAAGTTTTATCTGAATCCTGTGTGTAATCCCATTATCCCCTGCTTTTCGCACGCCGATACGGTTCCCCTTCGACAATCGCGGTTTGTCACGTGACGAGGAAACCGGCGAGTACCGAAATTTCGACTTCATTTGCCACTCCTCGGGTCAGATTTATTCTCTCGATACGAAATCGGTCTTGTTTTCTTTGGTGATAAAAGTAATTGGATCTGTTTACCGTTGAGAATTGTAATCTGTGAAAATTGTGTTTTAACCCTTTCGGAGATTATCGGCGTTCAAAAATTTCATTTCATTTATTCCGTTTTCGTTCAGTAATAAAAGTAATTTATTTATCGTTGAAAATTGTATTTTAACCCTTTCGCTGCGACAGATTAGCACCAATACGTTTCGTTTTGGCGTTCAAATATTTTTTTAAATTTGAAATTTATCATTTTTAAATTTCTATTGTTAAATTTAAGCGAGACTACTCGAAGGATCGAGTTTTAAGCAAAATTCGAGGCGCAAATGTGCGAAAAGTCGCCAAACAGCACAGTGCGAGAAAATTTTCAAAGCGCCAGTGAAAGGGTTAAAAGTATTTTATTAATTAGCTGTTGAAACATTTAAACACTTTACATATAGTATCCTTTGACATTCAAAATGGGGAACTAATTTAATAATCTTGGAAATAATTTTCCTCAGTTTCCCTATTACTTAATCGTATTAAGAAGCTTTACGCAATTCCGTTATACAATACCCCAACACGTGTAACCTCTGTTGTAAAATTAATCATATTAAAGAGTATTCTATACCGTCTCTCTCGTTTCTATACCGTCAATGTTTATGGCCATTAAAGAAATCACGAGTAGTCGTGTATCCATAATCTTCGAAAGAATCGTGACGTCAATGCTATTACAAAATTCATTATCTCCATCGAGAAGCTTCAAATGGTCGTGCGAGATTTAGCAATCTTCGACGAGAGTTTCTTAATTCAGATTTGATTTCCATTGCGTGTTTTCCTTAAACGCGTGTATTTAAATACACACACGCACTCGAGAGAGAGAGAGAAAAGAAGATACTGGAATAATAAATTGAACGTTCGAAACAGCTTGGGGACTCGCGACAATCATTCTCGAGCCGTAAAACGTTTCCAGAGAGACTGCTTGTCCCTCTAATTGCGTGTCGAGCGAAAAATTTACAGAATGACAGGTTTACATTGGACTTAATTGGCCATAATCCAACGCCACTCCCCTTAACAAGGCTCGATTGTTCAACTTCCAGGCGTGATTCGACGATCGACAAAAAGAGGAGAATAGAAAAGGAAAAGAGACGTTGGAACAGAGGTTGGCTGAAGAGTCTTATCGACGCACTAAGCCTTCGTCGACGCGTCGTTTGCGACGAGATAACACCGCGTATTAGCTAATATTTGATTGATAATCGATCCTCGGGCAACTGTTAGCACAAGCACGGGCTCGGATCTTGGCTCTGCGTCACTCACTGACTCACCCAGCGATTTCTTGGACTATGATCGCTACAGGCGAGTCCTCTGATCGATCGTGCCATTATTCGAGGAGACGCGATTATTTCAGACTTCGCGGAAACGAGGAAATTTCGCGTGAAATAGTTGGGAAAAACGACAAATTTTTGACTCTGGCCTTTATTCAACTTTTCTTTTTTACCGACGTTCGTTGTGTATAGTTGAATGCTTGGAAGGTTAATCGATATCTGAGAATACCGAAAAGGAGGGGAAAATGTGTGTCGAATTTTTATTCGTTCTTTTTCGTTCACTGGTTGAATATTTGGAAGGTCGATTCGATATCTGAGAATATCAGAAATAAGTGAAGAGTATAGATGAAATTTTTGTCCTTTACTGAATTTCTCTTTGCTAGTGAAATATTTGGAAGATCGATCGATAATCCGAGTACCTATACGAATTTTTATTCAATTTCCTCCATCGAGAGTAATCACGTGACGATACTCGAGGGATTAATTAATCCAACGTTGGGAAAGTTGACGCAAAATATCCACGTCGAATCAAGTGCCACTCGAACCGGGGAAAAAAATACAAATCCCGCGCAAGTGTAACTAGGATAATTGATTTAACAGCCGTGGACGTTTTTGCGCCAGCACGTTAATTACCACCGAAAGAACGGTGCGACATTTCGACGACTTATTCCCCTCCGTCCACGTGTGCATATCTTCCTCCTCGATCAATTAAAAACATCTCCCTCCCTCTATCTATCTCTTTGTTCCCTCGCAACTGTTCATTTCACCGACGATTAATGTCACCGCTGGATCAAGCTGTCCCGCGGGACATTTTTGCTCTATGTAAATTCCCTCGGTTGAATACTCTGTGACGTAAACGAGGGAACTTCCTACACCTTACTCTCTCTCTCTCTCTCTTTCTTTACCTCAGTATCGATAAAACGCTCGCCTTTATCGCGGTGCAAACGACGCGGAATCAGTCGATCGTTAAGCGTTTACGTTGTTACTTCGTGAGATAAGCCAGTGTCGATGCCTGGCTTGACACCTTTTTCAGAAGTTCTTCAAGACTCTCCGGCTGGGAAAGTGAAATTGATCGTAGAGAACGTTGGAGGTAAAGTGTATTCTTGTGAATTTTCTTTTAGTTTGCTTCGAAGATAGTGATAATTTTGAAGTTGTTTAAGTGGAATGGAATCTCGATGATTAATTAGGTCAGACGGTTTTAAGGCTTGGTTTGTGTGTAGAGAGAGAGAGAGTAGTTTTGTTGTTGAAGTTACATGGAAGAGGGCGATCGATGGTGAATTCGTAGCAATCGCAGGAGACAATCGAGCGACGCTGTAAGACACTCGACCGATAAGGTGTTCACCACTTGACAAAAGGCGCGTCACCGTGATTCTCGAGTTTTAATGAAAAGACGTAGTACTGTGTCAAGAGCTCTCTTATGTAGCTCTGGCTCGCGAAAGGACATGCTATCCACGTCAACAGCTCCCAATTCTCGTTCACGATCATGAACATGTAGAATTCTCTGTATCTGGTGAAACGATGATTTCAGAGATCTGTTCTGATTGGAAGATTGCTAGTTGTCCTTTGTACCTCTGACATTTATTATGTCTTCAGCAATTTTCAGTATTATACAGTTCATACTCTTTTGCCGTGAGAGGCTTTTATAGTACTGGATGCTACGTAATCTTTGCTTCATTTATTCACAAAGTGCAATAATTAAGATTTGCAAATCTAGCGTTTCCTTTAACCCTTTCGTTACCAGTGAGACACACGTATATCACTCGAGTACTCAAACAAACACTGACCTGAATTTGGAGTCCATGATCGACAGAAAAGTAGGAAATTTCTTTTTAAAAAAATTCAGTCGTGAAAGGGTGAAATACTAAGGTACAGGTTACAATAGAACACAAAAAGTAAGCAAAATGACCATTTATTGTGTCTCTTTCCATAATACAAAAACAGTCAAGTTAACTAAATTTCACTATCGATCCATTTACTCCCCGAATTAATCCATTGTCCAAAAGGAACAATATCCAGCAAAGATGAAACGTTCCTGTTCCATTGGTCCAAGAGAAACCAAGTCCTCCGTAACCCAATTAACGGATCGGGCAGAGGTGGGAATCTGGAGATCCTCTTTCCTTCGATAACGCCGTTGCTGTCTTTTTTTCCCCCGAGCCAGCTGTTTTCAGCTTCATCGACGGGAATAGAGGCCGGTCACAAAGGATTTGTTTGGAAGCCCCGCGGTACAGAACGCCGCATATCGAAAAGGCTTCCCCGGTGCATTCGTCTGCCGCTCTTAACACATTCAATTACCCCTTTCCTGGGTCACCAATGGGTCACCGTTCCTCGCTGTGTCACGTTTAAACGTGGTTTGTTACTGGCTGCACAGGCTCTCCCGATTGTACGCTCCTCCATTGTAACTTCACCTCTGGCTGCTGCTGCTACTTGTAATTTATCGTATTCCAACGGAAAATTCTAAAGAAGTTAACAAAGAACAACCTACTCTTTCTTCTCCCTTTACAATGTTATCGTCTAGTTTCGCCAGTTTTTTTTTTCTTATTGCAAAACTATTCACGTCAGATTCTTTGTCACCAGCGATATTTCACAATTGCGCCAATGACGTTGTATTTACGGTCGAGCGATAGGAAATTTCTTTTCGAAGCGCGTTGTTTTGAATCGTTCTCAGGGTGAAATTTAGATTCGAGTAATTGCACAGGAGACACGGAAATTAATGAAAGATTCTTTCTTCTCGCGCGTTGTCGAACGATTAAGCGCGGCCACATTGTTGGTTATTCATGGTTCGTGACTCCACGCACCGTCATTGTTCGACGTGGTTCATTAATAATTAATGCCTTGGTGATATTCAGTGGCGTGTGTTGTTCGGTAACGGTATTCTTCACGTTCGATCGATAGTATTTCTAAAGAAGAACGAGACTTGCACATTTTCTCCACGTTTCAGATATTTCATATCGAAGAATCTCGTGGAAATCACTGTTAGGTTGCCTCCTTTCTCTCTCTTTAATATCGCCGAAGGACTTTCATTTCGTGTCACCCGCGCGATCTAAGAGAGCAAATAATCGCAAGGTAGGCATCGAAGAATCGAGATTTTTCGCAGAAGTCGAACGTTGTTTGGCGGTTGTTAGACGAACAGCCAGAGGCAATTATGCGATTGGAGGAATTTTTATTCACGATAAAGAACCTCGTGTGTTCGAGTATGTAAATCCGTAGAGGTGGAGGAGGCAACCGGTCAGATTTGTTGAGCGTGCCTCCAACAGGAAATATTAATGGAACGAGTATGCACATCGTTTGCCGGATGGAATTGGCAGAAACACGCATCCGCGATTCCTCGTGATCCTGGTGACTCGACGTTTATGTTTACCTTCGTGTTATCGATTACAGGGACAAGTTTTCGGGACATGATATCTCAATTAGAATAATGTTTTTTCTTTTATTTTATACAAATAATAGAAGATTTCTTAATTTCTTTCTCTGCTGGGCGAATAAAGTGTTTCAATCTTAGCAGAGGAATTTAATTAACTTAATTGTACCTTTTATGAATGAAAGAGTTATACAGAGAGCTCTCGAAACTGTCTTTGTAATTATTTCCCCTCGCTGATGAAAGTAAATATGTTTGGAAATGGAACTTTTTATTAAAAAATTATTTCAACGTTCCATTTTTATTATTTAACTGTTCCATTTAATTGACGTTGGAGCAGATAAACATAGCGTTTTTCGTAGATAATGTTACAAATATTAATTCTTCACGAGTATCAAAAGCAGATACTCTATTTTCACGAATATTGATTTTTCCCAAACTTCGAAAACAAACATCAGAGCCAAATATCTCCTCGCAAAATTGAAGCTCGGGAACCAAACAACCCTCGTTCCCCCAAAAGATCCATCTTGTCATTCCATCAAATCGTACACAACCCCTTAACCCTTTCGCGACTAGCGCCGGTTATATCCGGCATCCACTAAATGCTTCGTATTGGCTAGCGCCGGTTATATCCGGCATCCACTAAGCGCGTCGCATTGACTCGCGCCTCGACAATTCAAAGTGAAGATTTATTTTGAAATACAGAACAAGGCCTCGACAACGTTCCCTTTATCCGATACACCCTCAAGTCCTATGCTGTTCCAACGAAATCCTCTAAGATTTGAAAAAACGCGAGACACTCTTAACGCGTACGATGTGCACTAATGGCACGATGACCCGTTTGTTAGGGGCGTACTGATGGCTAGTTTCGCCGTCGCGAAAGGGTTAAAATCGTGGGACATGGTGGACACGGAAAAACTCCTGATATCTCCCCGTGGACCGTGGAAATCCCAGCAGAAGAATATCTGCGGAGTGGTGCAGGCGGGATCGGTATCGAATTCGGTTGTGGCCGCGGGGAATTCGGTTTTTCCCCGCACGAAGGAGCATTTGCAGCGTGAAGCCCCACGGGGCGAGAATTGAGACACGGGGAAAGAGAGACACAGAGAGAGAGAGAGACAGAGGGGCTAGCTGGCAAATGTTCACCTTGCTCGAATGTGGAACATCGATTGACCGGTGAGCCGTGTGTGAGGTCGTTTGTTGTTTAATAGAAAGGCGACTGTGGGGTAGCAGCGGGTGGGCGACGTTGGATGGGAAACAAAGCTCGTCTGAAAGCACAGCCCGAGCGACACGCGGCTAACGAAAGTCGGACTCTCTCTCATTCAAGGCTTGGCTGGATTTCGTGGTTGGTTTCCCTTCTGACTCGCTCGAAACAGGGCCAATTACGGCCTGGCGTAATCGAGATTGCCGCGAGATGAAGACCGCTATGGCTTCTCTGTTAATTCCTCCACGTTCGTTTATTTTTCTCTCGCTTTCTGACCGACGCCAGCGTTTTTCCTTTTTTTAACGGAGGAACTTGCTGTCGAACAGTTGGAAACAGGGTGTTCGGGTCGCGTAATGTTCGATGCTTAAGTGCCGAACCGGTACGCGAGTTTAATCACACCTTGATTTATTCAGTGTGAAATACTAAGAACTAGTTTTATTGCAACAGAGTGATACTTGAGGTGATGCCGCCATGAGACTATCGAAATACTAATTTTCATAAGACCAACTGCCAAGACTTCCAAAAAAGGACGCGCTTCTGCCTCGTTTCCTTAGTTTTATCCACTCGGCCAGATTGGTGGCCGATTTCTTCTGGGGGTTGTAGGTGCTGACTCCTCATTGGAGGAGGTTGTTTAGGTGGGACGCAGCTCTTTCCAAGGGAAGGGGATTGTTGCTTAACATTAGAAAACCCCCATTTTTGGGTTTTTCCCAGGGGTTGCCGCGTGACTTTCCACCGCGCACGTGACCTCTCCACGGGGGTACGGTACGCGCGAGAGGACCGGTACCTCGGTCTGGCGGCCAAGTGCAATTGCACAAGTTTATGACGATAATCCGCCAGACCGAGGTTTCGTCGCGATTTCTTGCGAGGCAACACAGGGTTCTCGTGGAGTTGTACCGATTATGTTATCGAACACAAGTTCATGACGATAATTCGCCAGACTGAGGGTTCGTCGCGATTTCTTGCGAGGCAACACAGGGTTCTCGTGGAGTTGTACCGATTATGTTATCGAATTTCGTTGAACTTTGTCGATTTTAGAGCTCTGATTTTTTGGAGCACTGTGTTTTGATCGAGAAATGGCAAATTTTCTGCTGTATTTGAGATTTTGTTAATTTGGATCTTGCTTTCATTTTGAAGCACTGTGTTTCGTTTGAGAAGAGGGAAATTTTCTTGTATCGAGTGATTTTGATGTATTTAGGTGTTTTTTTTTTTTTTTTGGTTCGATTCGATGGTTGGAACATTGTGAATTTTAATTTCATTTCGTTGTCTTTTATCGATATTCTAGGTGGTTTGTTTAAAGTGGCTGTAGTTATAGATTGGGAGAGTCGAGATTGTTTACGAGGAAGGTATGGTTCGAGTGTTCTCCGAACTCAATTTGCGTTTATTGTTTCCCATCGATTCTTCGAGGAGTATGCTATTCCAGGAAGCTCGTTGACTAATGGCAATTTTCCTCATGCCTTGGGAAGAAAATTATTAAATAACAAAACAATTACATTATCTAAGTGAAATTCGCTGTCGTTTTACGTGAACTCACGTGAACGTAAGCGAATCATGCAACTCTGAACCAGATACATACACTATCAAATATCTGCTCGTCAACTTTTTTACTCCATTCTAAAATCTGACAAATTACAGAAAAAAACTAATTTTAAAGTTGCTTGCAATAAAGTAATCGATTTCCTCTCTGAAAATTCCCAGAATAAAGTTACCCCTGATAAAATGAAGAAAAGCGCCCATTCTTTCTTTGGGAATTCCCGGAATAAAATTAGCTGCAATAAAATAACGAAAATTCTGAGAACACACTCGCCCATATGAAAGTACACTGTAAGTAATTGTCCGAGCAAATACTTACCAGGTACCGAAGCACGTGATACATGCCGAGCAAACAATCAACGAATAATTTCCACTCGACTCGTCGAACATTCGTGCTTATCGCGATCAAATAAAACGTCCAATAAAGCCCGATACAAGAAGATTAATGAAAGGGCGTGTCGAGATCTCGATTTAAGCGGAACATTACCGGAAGCTTCCGTTTCACAAGAGCCTGGTGTGTGTGTATCGGGTTGAGCTGTGAAAAGCGCAGTCACGCGAGCCTTGCAAACACCAACTTCCACTCGAAAGGTGCAATTATAAGGGGCGGAGGGGAAGAGAAGTAGGGAAGCAGGGCGGGTGGTAAAGATGGCACGAAACGTTAGACACGAGCTTTTTCGAATAGAGAAACCACCTACGTGAAAAGAAGAAGAAGGAAACCGGCCTCTCTTCTCTATCGGTAATCGCTTAATCTAGGTCATAGCGAGAGATAGCTTTATCTTTCGTCAAGGATAGACGACGAAACCGTAGAAATAGGTTCCCAAGGGGTGGTAAGGGACAAAAGGAGGGAGAAGTTTCCCTGGAGCAAACCGGGGAACTTTTGTAGACAGGCGACCACGACTCTCCTCGTCTCTGAAAGTTCGATCGCTCGAAATCGAGGAGAGAGAGAGAGGGAGAGAAGAAGAAGAAATAAAAGAAGAGCATGAGAAACTTTGTGACACTTGCACGCAAGTGGAAGGCAAATGCAATTTCTACCTGTCCCCTTCTTCTCACCTGTCCGCCAAGTTTTATTTCAATGATTGATAAGCCACGATAAAGTTTCGTTGGAAATGGAAGAGATAGAGATGGAGAGAAGGTTAGAAGATGAGACTCGATTTTGAATGCACCTTCAAGGACGTCGATGGTAAAAGTGGAGGACCCTTTACGGCCGATTAGCTCCGCGGCTTTTACCTTTGTGCTTGGAATAGATCGAAACGTTAACCCTTTCTGTCGAGGTTAAAGTGATCTTCTCCGGGGAAACGTTGCTGTTGCAACACGTTTGCGTTTCTGTAATTCTCCTTCTTTGCGCGATACTTTTTCCAATTTACATATGTATGTCTGAATGTGTATTTTTTTTTTTTTTACGAAAGCACGACACTACACTTTTAGGACTCGTAAGCTTGTATATTTACCGATCGTTCTATTTATTATACGTGTGTGTTTATGAGCGTGTAAGCTAGTTTGGTCGATAATTCGATTTAATTAAAGAAGATGCTGCTCGTTACATTGAACGCTGTTTTAGCAAAGTTCGGGGTGACCTTTTATTCTCCCTTTAACAGGACTAAATTTAATTTGAAAGTTGGGTAGAAGTGGAACGTCGGAGCATCTCGTTTATTATACAAAGGTACCATTTCTACGGGGAGAACATTTCTCGAAGTTTCGTCTCTCGGAGAATCGTGTTCGGGTGATCTGACGATGATAACGAAAAATATCGCGCGATATCCATGGACTACACGAAGCGTGTGTACAGTTATTTTTCAAAGTTTCCTCTCCTTTGTTCGACGAGATATGTTTGATCAGAAACGAACATGTCGGAATACGCGCGGCCATGACCTCGCTTTAACTTCGATCTTGGCAAGACAACGTTTCCCTTTAAAATCGATTAGACCGGATGTGTTCTTAATGTGCGCGCTCGTACCGAGAACTTTGCAGAGTAAACATCAGAATTCATTTATTACGATCGATGAACGAACATCCTGCTCCACATTCGTCAAGGTTCAGCGAAGGCAGGCAGGCAGGCAGGCAGGCTCGCAACAAACCACCGCGTAGCCATAAAAATGCTAATTTGTTCCATTGGTCAATTTCACTTTGCTCTTAGAACCGTTCAGCTGATAAGGAACGCTATTCAAACGAGCCGCTTAAGTGCCAGCCCCATTTCTAGCTTCTCGCGTCTCTGTTGATTCAAACGAGCAAACATTACGTTTGTAGAATGACACGCTTTCGCGGTTCTATGTCTCTCTTTTCCCTCTCTCTCTCTCTCTCTCTCTCTTCCTGATGTTTTCATTTTCATCGTTCTGGCATTTCTTGTATAACACGAACCTGACAAATGGACTTATGCAAATAATATCTGGAGTTCCTTCCACGATGGAAAAGGAGCTTTCGTGGCTTTGATGGGCCACAAGGAAGGAACACCGATCGATATGTTTTCATTTTCATCGTTCCGGCATTTCTTGTATAACACGAACCTGACAAATGGACTTATGCAAATAATATCTGGAGTTTCTTCCACGATGGAAAAGGAGCTTTCGTGGCTTTGATGGGCCACAAGGAAGGAACACCGATCGATGAGAAATGGATCTTGTTGAATGGCGTACAACTCGGAATATGAATTTCAACATTTCCGTCTCTCCTCTTATTCCCCCTGTATCTCTCCCTCTTTAAAAATCAATCAGATTCATAAATATTTCAACCACTCCAATTCCATTGTATTCCTCTCTGAAAAGAAAAAAAAACGAAAATTATCCCTCTCTTTCTCTTTATAAGCAATTTTGCCTTTTAAAAAAAAAATTCGTATCTCCTCTCGTCGTCTTTTATCGACCAGATTGATCGACGCAATTTCTATTCCTCCCTTCCTCTCCTATTCTCTCTGAAACTTCAGGTGGTTGAATAGATTCGTCGTTGAAAAGGATTGCAGGGACCTAGTAACGGAAGGAGGTCGACGATCCTGTTCTTTATGGGGTTGCCAGGGTATAAGTTCCGCAGCAGGACAGACGGCGCCAGCCTCTGTCTCCTTGCCATTAGGGAAGCCTACATTCTGTCTAACACACCGACGCACCACTCTCTGGCTCCTTCCACGCGGGAGAGAGTAGGATATGTTCGCGAACACACACACACACACACACAGGCAGACAGAGAGGCGAGCTTTAACGCTCGGCACGTGACTGCATGCGCGCACAGGACGACACGGATCGTCCGTGAATTAAGTTGTTTTTCGAAACTCCCGATCGGGGTTACGTCCTTGGACGCCCGATGCTCCCGTTAGCCCGGGGTGTGCCCCAGATTTTCATCGATAGCACTGTTTATTTTTAGGTTTCTACGATATTGGAGATAGTCCGCGCGCGTCAGCAACTATTTCGTCTCCGCTGCGAAGTGTATATAACTTTCACGACCTTGCTCCTCCCTCTCTGGCTCTTTACGATTCTATTAAATTCGACGAACAACCCTTCGTCTCGTTGTGTCCACCGGTGATAATTGTTCCGTTCGTAGTTTGTTTTATACCGTGTACAGTTTCGCTGCCGCTCACGTGGCGTTCGATACGATTTTGAATTTCGCGCCGCTCGAATGTACGTGTGGCGCGCATGCGCAGTAACTGACAGCGTGACATTTTGCGAGGGAGAATAACAAAGAGAATTCGATATTCGTGAATGAATGATGTGGAGGAATAGCGGAAAAGGGGATAGAGGGATTCGCGAGTGTCTCGAGGAATATCTGGGAAATTTGTGTGCGATTGGTTTCAGTTCTAGTTGACGAAAGATTGAGGTTAGATATCGAAGAGTTCGTTTAGTGCGTAGCTGGATATTAACGATGGAATTCCTTTGTTACAGCTGAATGAGACTCATGGAACCCTTGGGTGTTGTCCAGTATGTGGTGGAGCCGGGCGCATTGAAAAAATGGTCCGACTACCCAGTCCAGCACAGATTCACAGATTATTCCAATTCAATTGGAGAACCAACTCATCATACCATCAGCCCATTCCCATGTCAACCAGCACTTAACAACAAACTTGCACTATGGTGAGTTTGACGAGATTATCCGGCAATTCAGTTTGCTTGTTCTACAGGCTTGTTATAAAGAGCATTGTGTTTTAGGACTGGAGATATTTGTGCTTTACAAGTAGATGCAGTGGTGAATTCTACCAATGAAACAATGGATGATAACAGTCCCATGTGCCAAAGAATATTTGCTCAGGCTGGTTCTGCACTTAAGTTGGAAATATTGCATGATGCAAAAGGTAAGATTTACAAGGTACAGAATAATAAGCAAAGGTTAATTAGATTGCTTTATTTCATATGAATCGATCGTTTACAGAGTGCAAAACTGGTGAAATAATAGTAACACAAGGACATTGTTTACCTGCACGCTTTATTATTCATACTGTTGGACCAGTGTACAATGTGAAGTACCAAACTGCAGCTCAAAATACATTGCATTGTTGCTATAGGTAGTTCTCCAATCTGTAGAAGGAATATTCATATGTGAAGTATATAATGTAATATTTATCTTACTTTATAGAAACGTTTTACAAAAAGCAAGGGAGCTTGGTTTACACACGATCGCGCTACCTGTAATTAATTCCGTACGAAGAAATTATCCCCCTGATGCGGGAGCGCATATTGCTCTTCGTAAGTATATATTATTTTCAGTTGATGTAAACTTTAAAGTTGGTCGAGTCAAGATTTAATACCTCCGACTTCCGTGTGGTAATAGGAACAATACGAAGATTTTTGGAGCAATATGGTGATTCCATTGCATGTATCGTGTTTGTCTTGGAACCATGTGATATTGGAATTTACGAAGTTCTTCTTCCACTCTATTTCCCAAGAAATTTAGCAGAGCAAGACAATGCCTGTTGGCAGCTACCGAACGATATCGGTGGAATGGATGGGGAACCTTTACTTCCCGATCGACAAATCAGAATCATCGACAATCCTCAACATGCTTTACATGGTAACGATATTAAACGTTGTTAAACATATTTCAAAAGCACGTAGCGTTTCATTCATCTATCGAAACTTTTACATTTCTTTGTTACAGGCGATGAAAGTGTAGAATTATCCACGCAATTAGAGACATCTGTGAATATTGGCGAACACGCGTTTGCACAAATGCAGGGTGATTTAGATCGACAAAGACTCCTTGGGGAGAGACCACCTGCCGATCCATTGGCAGATATCATGTTGAAACGAATGCAACAAAAAGAAAGGTACGATTCTTTTGAAACAGTTTTCCAATTCATGTCGTTATTTTATCCGTCCAACTATTTTGGACTTCGGCAATACGCTAAAATCCTTCGTGTTACGAAACGTTTCGATATATAACATCTAAATGTTACAAAATGGTCAACGTTAAAAGCATATAAACGTCGACTATCCACCACTGTACAAACTACGTTGTTTGTTTATTTAAAATAAGTGCTTTCTACATATTTTCAACGGAACCTCTAGCTATAATAAACAGAATTCCATTCATACAATACCACCTATGCAATTTCGTACGAAATCAACACCGGTTTTCGCGCGTCATAGCGCTATTCTTAACTATTCGAACACAAACATAGTACTATTTTCGTGTAGAAACATCGCTATTGGGATTTACGCGCTGTTTCATTCGCGAAGGCCGCAACGTATTAATATTTCGTGATTCAGGTAACGTGTATCGTTGGCCGGTAAAAAAGAATATCGAACAGGACTGTTTCTCCGGTTGGTCGCGTTCGTGTAAATCTGATAAAAGTCCCCAAGCTCCCAAAAACATTTTATTTGCCCTAATTTTTTTATCTACCGACAAAACGTCGTGTCTCTCTTAAAAATACAGTTCCCCACTTATCGAACGTAGTTCCCTTCAGTACCGACGTTTCTTACTCGAACGTTTCATTCAATTATTCACCATTGATAAAAACAGGTCAGAATTTTAATGGAGTTACTACTCGCGGAGTAAGACGTAGTATTTCCGTAGTACGCGCACTTCATTCTACTTTTACTCAGATTTCGCAAATCTACACGATTAAATGAATTTATTTAAAATTGCCTTATTATTCGTTCCATAAATTATTTTACTCAGTTTACAATATTATTTTAATGCAACACAGTGACATAGCGATATTCACATATTAATTTAAATTTAAACGTTTGCGTTGATAATATCGCAGATTAATATTTCCACGTTTTAACGAATGCTATATAATTTATTATACGCTCGTACTAATTGAAGGCAGACATCGATTTCCCGTCGGTCAATGAAATTCTTCCCTATTAATTACCCAAGAAAAAATTGTCTACCTTTTTATAGACAGTCCTTGTCGTTAATGTCACCGATCGAAATGGCCTCGTAACCTTTAAGCTCGTTTACGTGCCTCGAAATAGCATTTACTCCGTACAAATATACTCGAAATGTACGAATTATCCTAATTTTCACGACACGTCACTCGTACTCGAGACTTAATCACGCGAACGTAGTATCTCCACGTCCACGTCATGGAAATAAATCATACTGCCTATCGTGACGTTGCGTTAAGCGAGATAAGTCCAAAGTTTTTTTTTTACAGAATCGTAACGTCACTTCGTCACGGTGAAATCTCCAGTCATGGCGAAGTCAGGTTGAAAATTGCAATACTCTCCAGGAACAGGATTTCACAATTTAATTTCAATTTGCTGCGATTTCGTCGAGCCATCGAAAAACACTTTACTGGCACAGATTGAATCTCCGATTCATCTTTTGTTTTTATCCTCGAAGCTATACTCTTTCGACATTAGAGTAATGTTCGTCGTTAAAGATTCGACGTGAGAACTCAGGCTATAGAAGATTCAAATATTTTATTCGTCATCGTAGGTTTAACATAAATAGAAATAAAAAATTCTGGGAGTGACTATAGCTGACTGCTGTGTCGTTTCATTTTACGCGAAAGAATTCTTGAAAATTTACCGTCCATACATTTTACACAGTCTCCGCTGTGTTTTCATTCATGAATATCTTTTTACTCCTCCACGTTTGACCTTTAAAAAGTGTTTGCGTAAAAGATAAAAATACTCGCGGAGTATCAAGAATCGTAACACGAATACACCATAAACGAGGAAGCAAGAAAACTTTATGGTGGGTGGAAACTTGGCCTTGAGCGATGCAAATCTTCGACACAGGCTATATATGCAGATATCGCTCCGGCGATATTTTTCAAGACGTTCACGCGTCACACGCGGCGGATAAAAAGCTGGTAGTTTGTTTTGCACAAATCCATCGGCGCCAGTAAACATTAGTTGAGACATCAGACTCCGTTAACGACGTTCTTCCGTATATTTCACCGAGCGGAAGATTGCCAAACGATCGAGCTCTCGATCGTTTCTTCATTCCCGTAGGAGAAAAAATCGGCTCGAGAGAAGAAACGTTCCAAACCATCGCGTTCACATTTTACGCCTGGAGAAAACTCAGTTTCCTACTGAGACGATCCTTTATCACTCTCGGTTATTTATTACTTTCCCCGTTAACGAAAAGGCGCGCCTGAAATCCAGCGTTTCGATCGAGAGGTGCGGCTGTGATCGGTCGTTTCTTCGAAGCAGCGTTCAATCCATTTTAATCGAGGCCACGGTCGTGAAATTGTGGACACAATCGAGCACGCTAACAGTTCTCCAGTCTCTCGATCCAATCGTTCCAAGACGTCGCGGAGATTGCTTCTTTTATGGAACCGCCATTACCAAAGGCCAATCCCGTTCGCTTTAATCTCACCCGAGGAAGAATCTATAGAAAGACATCCGTCTTTCCTTTTCGTCGAGTTTTCCACGGATCTCGAGCGAAGAATTCACGGTCGGTTGTTGCGTTACGTGTGTCAACTTTGCACCGTGAACGATAATTATAGCGCAACCGTGAACGATAAAATATGCGTGGCACGCCGGTAACGTTTATTAGGAACGAACGAGGAGAGGAACGAAAGAGTCGTCGAGGATTTGATACTTCCTGCTTCCGGAAACTGTGACAACGTTCTCTGTTACGACTTCGAGGAAAGACCGATTTACGGTCGCGTGGCGTGTGAATCGACGATCAATCTCTTCTCTCGACTCTCTTTTCTGGCTAACAGAAGGATACACGTTTCCTGGAAATCGAACCACGTCCTATTTTCATCCGATGTAATTGCATCGAGAATCAATGGAATCGTACGTACTTCTCGACGAATTCGACGTTTCTTCTCGGAAACAGAAGTCGCGGAGAAAGTGGAGCCAAGGAAAAACGAGTTTCAACGTTCTGTTGGAAGCATCGTGCACGTATGCGTGCTCGTAACCGTAGATCAGTAGAACGGGTGATTAAGGATGCATTGATTTCAATCTGCTGCATTGTGCCCTGACAGTTTCAATTGCAGGCGCGCGGTCTAAAATAATAATCGAGCGTAACAATCGTGGAACAGCAGCTACTGCCTGCTGGTAGCCCCATCGAAGCTGCGCGTTTAGAACCAATCGACCCAGAAACGTGAACGCGTAACGCAATTTCGCGTTTACCCGTCGAAACAACGGCCCTCGCATAAAATTAACCAATCATGAAACAAAGTGGCCGGGCGCCACTCAACTCCCGAAACTTCAACAATTGTCCCGTTCCCATTCTCCAAAACAAACACGCGTGTGTGCGTTTTCGCCTCTCGAAACATCTGAACGATGTTTCTCTCTTGGCGATACGTCGTTATTAACCCTTTCGCTCCGAAGGGCGTATATATACGCCCTCGAAGAATGAACGTTCATGTACGAAGAGCGTATATATACGCTCGCGAAAAGTGGGCGCTCGGGTACGAAGAGCGTACATATACGTTCATACCATGTATACTTTTGTTTCTTTCTTGTTTTTGCGACAAAATGATCGTTTGCCAAATTTCATTTAAATCGTATAAGACAGATATTGGAAACATATGGGAAAGAAAAATCAGATATGAAATGTACCTCAGTGTCGACTAGTCAGTAATGCGCTCCGTTCATAGCGATCATATTTTGTCACAAGCACGCCGTAGCGAAAAGGTTAATTGCCAATTAATTCAGTGGAACGCAGGAACGTTTCGTTATCCACCCTGGTAACGTTTTGTCGAAATTCAATTCAACGGAATTGCTGGCGAGGATTGTCTTTCTTCGTTTTTTCTGTTATGCCAGTCGATCTGCATTCTTGGAGTTAGTCACGGTGGTAAAATCAAACGTGAAGATCAGAGTGGACGAAAATAGCCGAGGCTATAAATGTTCTACTCCGTAACGCAGTGTAACCACGCATTCTCACGTGTACCCACGGAATTCCTAGCTAAAAATTCACGAGTTCGAGGTTGAGAATCGAGTCCGGCCGAGTGTGTGCTGTGTTGTGCAAACGTTATTCCCGAAATCAGTCAACATCGGCTAGGTCAAACGCGATTGCTTCTCCATCCTGCTCCGGGAATGCTCCCAATTTCGCATATTCCAGCGGCACGTGCGTGTCATGCATCATCGTGTCGCTGATTCGGGGAATTCTGTACTTAGAATTGGCGGATGTGCCGCTGGGGTAATTAATAGTAGCTGCGATATCGTATGCAAATCCCCGTTGTTTCGTTTGCAACGTTGGGAAAATTGCAGTTTTGGATTAATTACGTCGGGTTGGATTTATTGCGAATTTTTATGGGAGGAGTTTAGGAGTTTTCGGATGAGATAGGGAGGAATTCAATTCGATTGAGACTCGTTTGAAATTTTTCGGGGATACGTGGGTTCGGAGGAATTCCGATGTATTGTGGAAGGAAGGTGTTAATTGGTCTGCAAATTTTTGACGCGTTCTGGTGCTTTGTGGGTCTAATCACTTGTTTGTTTAACGATTCAGTGGAAGCGTGAAGCACGTGTGACAGGAGATCAAAGTATACACTACCGGCCAAAAGTTTAGAATCAATGCGTATTTCAAGTTACACGAAAATTCCCGGAAAAAAGTCAGTAGCTTTAAGAATTTTTTAACGAATTTTGTATCAAATTAAGTCTATATAATAAACATCAAGTCTATGAAAAATTAGTAGCAGATTCAGTACTGATGAAAATTGGGAGGTGATTCCAAACTTTTGGCCGGTAGTGTGTATAGAATACAGCACTATTTCTAGTTTTTGCAATTATGTATTTCCATGCAATTTTTGTATTCGATATATTTATGATCCCATATAAATTGTACGTATTTTGCTAAAGACTGTGCTTTTCCTCCTTTGACATCGAAATTTCTATCTCTGAATTTTGCGAACCA